TTGTTTTCCCATTTGAATATTTCGCGCAATTTCCGTTTGTTGTTGCTCCGTTACTTATTTTTTTTCATCTCATGATTCATTTGCATTTCAATTCTTTTGCGGGGGCGGGCGGGCAGGTTGTTTGCGCTTTTCTGATTTTTATGCTTCAATCAAATCTGACCGTCACCACCCCCTGCCACCCCGCACAGATGTCAACCCCTATGCAACCGCCGCCCCGCCCCCTCAACAACAACCCTTTCCATTTTGTTAAGGGGGGGCGGGCGGGCTTAGTAACATCTAATTAACTTTTTCTCTACCGCGCTGCAATTACAATTTCAACAGGACATTAACAGGACAACAAAACAAAAAAAAATAAACATATCGAAAAAAAAAACACCGAATGCGGAATACCCTCAACTCGCGTTGTCCACAAATAGCAGACAATTGCAGATGCACGCCCTGTGACACAATCGCAATTGCCCTTTGCGGAGGTACGCGAGGCAAACCAAGAAAGAACTTTACTCGGTACGCCGAAGATTGAATACCCTTGTTGACAAATGGCTTACGGCTTTGCAGATATGTGAGGAGAATTGTGAAGCTCGCAATTGCGGAGTTTGGTGAATGGATCTTGGAAAGCAAAAATTTGAAAATCTGAATTTTCAACCGATCGTTTTCTATATGGCAGATATATGATATAGTGATCCGATGTTAATGAGATTTTCATCGAAAAACAACATTTTTTCATACAAAAACCTACTTTTCGACCGATCGTTCCTATGGCAGCTATATAATATAGTAGTCCGATGCTGATTAGATTTTGCATACATGCAAGAAGCAGAGTAAAACTATTAAATGCCGAGTTTGGTCAAAAATCTTAAAAAAAAAAATTTTTTCATACAAGAACCTATTTTTCGACTGATCGTTCCTAAAGCAGCTATATGATATAAGGATCCGATTTTGATAAGCTTTTGATTATATGTGAGGAGCATAGTGAAACTAATAAATGCCGAGGTTCGTCAAGATATTTTGATAAACAAAAAAGTTTTTCATACAAAAACCTACTTTTCACCCAATTGTTCCTAAGACAGCTATATGATATAAGGATCCGATGTTGATAAGCTTTTGAATATATGTGAGAAGCATTGTCAAACTAAAAAATGCCAAGTTTGGTTAAAAACTCTTGTTAAACAAAAAAGTTTTTATACAATAACCTATTTTTCGACCGATCGTTCATATGGCAGCTATATGATATAGTGATCCGATGTTGCTAAGCTTTTGAATATATGTGAGGAGCAATTTCAAATTAATAAATGCCGAGTTTCGTCAAGATATCTTGATAAACAAAAAAGTTTTTCCTACAAACACTAATTTCTCGACCAATTATTCCTATTGTAGCTATATAATATAGTAACATATGTACAACATTTCATGACTCTAAGAGACTTGACGGAGTGTTGACTGTTGATCATACATATACATATATACTCTATAGGATTGGAGCTGTCTCTTTATATGTGTCACACATTTCATGATAAATAAGTTATACCCTCTACAAGGGTATAGAAAGGACAACGGATAATGGTGCGACGACAGGAGTTGGTCACTGCACACACACACACACACACACACACACACACACACACACACACACACACACACACACACACACAGATATAGAGCAGAGGCGGTTGGGCGGGGCAGCGTATTCGACACGCAATCGAAATTAACTTCAAATATGAAATAATTTTTAGTGTTTTTTACGCGCGTTGCCAGCGTACAAGTGGGCGGCTGGTCGCAGGGGCGTGGCGCGAACGTCCAACTTATAATTGGAAAATAGCAGCGTGTATCTGTGTGTATGTGCGTATGTGTGTGTGCCTCTCTTTATTTGTTTGCCTTTTTTTCAGCCCTCTCTGAAGAGCGGCGAAATTTGTGTTGTAAAAGAAAAAAAAATCATAATTACAAAGTTAATATCCTTTGGTGAAAGGATTAAATTGCTAGTTGCGTTTAAGTGGACTGAGAGAGGGGGTAGCGGATGAATGGAGGGTGTTTGGTTAGGCAACTGCCATGGGAACTAGCTGAACTGATTGAGCGAGCAACTCACCCTTGCAGGACTTGTCATGCAGTTCGCGATCCTCCTCGAGCAGCGACTGAAACTTGTGCTGCAAATTGGATGCTGCCTCCTGAACGGTGCGCGCCTCCGCATCCCGCGGCAGTAGGGCCTGCAAATAGGCATACATATCGCCCTGCATAATGCGAATTCGCTTGCTTTCCAAATGGCGAACAAACTGCGCCTCGCTAGGCGCCAGAAAGAGGACAGCCCGACCGCGTCGGCCCGCACGCGCTGTGCGACCCACACGATGCACAAAGTCGGCGGTGGTCTGCGGTGGTGTATACTGCACCACCAGCTTTATGTCGGGCACATCGATGCCGCGGCCAACCACATCGGTGGCGAGCAGCACACAGCTGGCGCAGTCGCGGAAGCCACGAAATACGCCCTGGCGTTCCGTTTGCGTCATGGAACCATTGAGTCTGCAAAGAAGAAGCGGATAGGCATTAAATTAGGATCTCAGTGTGTGTAGCCAAGGTGTGCACTCACTTGAAGAATCGCAGCCCCTGGAGCAAGGGCGTTTCGGTATCGTCGTCATCAGCCTCTTGCTCCTCTTTGGCCAGTTGCTCATCGTCTTCGTCGAGGACGCGACGTGTGAGCGCCTCGTTGAGCACATCGTGGTGAAAGTTTACCATTTCCGTGGTGCTCATGAAGACTATGGCCTTGAATTCCTTGGGACTGGCAGCCAGCTCCTTGGCGAGCAGCGCTGAAATGGTGACCAGACGCAGTTTGGGCGGCACCACCACATAACTTAGCTGCAGATTCTCCGGTATGCTCAGCACGCCCGTCACGTCCTCCACATACTCGCCGAGGCCGTCGTCCTGTAGCGCCTCGATGGACTCTTTCTGATAGCCATTGGTGCCTTTTAGCGCCGCATCAGCTGCCTCATCGCTATTGTCTATGTAGAGCGGTTCTTTGAGCGTCAGACCCGCCAGCTGCTGCACCTGGGAGGTCAGCGTGGCGCTGAGCAGCAGACGCTGCATGGCAACCGGCGGTTGTTGTGGCTCCTCGGCGCGATGTTTGTCAATGGCCTCCACAAGCTGCTTGACATCGCGCTCGTAGCCCAGTTCAAGCAGGCGATCCGCCTCGTCCAGCACGAGAAACTGCAGCTTGGAGAGCTTAAAAGAGGCTGTATGTAGCAAATGATCCACCAGGCGACCAGGTGTACCCAGCAGCACATTGATGCCCTTACGCAGGCGCGCCTTCTCGCTCTTACGGCTCTCACCGCCGAGCAGAGCTCCGGGCACAATCCATGTGTATGGCTTAACCAGCTTCTGGAATAGCTCGTACGTCTGCACGGCCAGCTCACGTGTGGGCACAATGATAAGTGCCAGAACGCCATCGGTGCGCTTTATGCGTGGCAGCTGCGCCTGCAGGCGTTCGACCACGGGCAGCGCATAGGCCAGCGTCTTGCCGGAGCCGGTCTGTGAGCGCACCAGCACATCTTTGCCGGCCAGCACCTCGGGTATAGTCTTCTGCTGTACTGTTGTCAATTGGCTAATGCTCAGCAGATCCAACAGATTCTTAACCGCATGCGCATGCAAACCCAAGCTTTCCACCTTGGTCCCGGCAAATATGGTCTCCTTAACGGGCTTGACCGCACGCTGGCCCAGCTGCTTAAGTGCCGCCACATCGCTCTGATCGAACAGGCCAATTTTTTTGGTGCGAAACTTATTGGCTACCTGTGCGCCATTCTTTTGTGTCCCTGGCAACGTCTGTTCTGCGGCGGATGTCTCAACAATCTGCTGATCAGCGCCGCGCTTAAGCCTGCGCTCCTCGTCCAATTGTGCCTTGAACAGATCGCCTGCGCGTGGCTGCTTGTTGGGATTCTCCTTACGTCGCTGACCCTTAAGAGCTGTTCGCAACTGCTGCTTACTGATGCCGGCGCCAGATTTGGCCATCGTGGCCGGCTGTTGCATGGAAGCCTCCTTCAGCTGCGGCTGTTTGCTTTTGCTGTCATCTACCGCGTGGGCTGTGTACACGTTGAGCATCAGATCGCAGTGGGGCGGTCCTTTGGATGCCTCCTTCGACTGCTGCTCCTGCTGCTGTTTCTTGATGCCATTCTCATCCTTGCCTGCGCTCCCATTGAGATTTGGTTTGCTGGTGAGCGCAAGTGCGACTTTGGGCAGGGGCGTTGCTTGGGACTTGGCTGGCGGCTCCTTTGACACTGGAGCACGACGCCGCACCACAAGCGCCTTAATCTTAGGCTTATCCACATTGAACTGAAAGTCGAATTCCGCACCCGCTGCACGTTTTTGTTTGCGCAGCGGCTTTTGCGTTGGCGCCGCCGCCTGCCGAGCATCAAATGTGAGTGTGTGGCTTTGGTTTATATATTTCTTTTCACTCACCTTTTTCGCAGTATTGGGCGTCGGTTTTGTACATATATTAAACATTATATTATCCATTTTCACGCATTTATGTGCAAATCAACTTGTTAATAGAAAAACGTGCGCGCTCGCTTACAGGCACGCATTGAAAAAACAGCTGATTGGCTAGCAAGCAGTGCTGCATATGCGCAAGTAGTGCAAAAATACTGTCTACCAACATAGTGGCAACGCTGTGCTAGTGTAGACTACTAGTTGCCAGAAGAAAAAAAAATGTATAAGCGCGCCTTTTCAAAATAAAAAGTACTAAGGTAAAATCAATACAAGAATGGTTTTTGCTATATATTCTTAACTGTTGGCATATTAAGCGACACTCTTACATTAAAGTTACACTGCTTTAAGATATATTTTAAGACAGCAACAAGTTTATATATATAAAATAAAATATAAACTGCGCAAGCAAAAATACTGTCTGGCTTGACAAGCTGGCAACGCCGACTAGTGTAGCCACCGAGTTGCCAGTGTAGCACAATTTACAATTTGCGCGCGATTTGAAAATAAAAATTGTTAGAGTAAAAGCCTCATGAAAATTGTTTTCGCTATATATTAATATATCTTGGCAAATTTAATAACATTGTTTTTAAGTTATACAGCTTGCGGCTGTTTTCTATGATTACAACAAGTTCTTGATTACACGAAAAAAAATTTAACGAGCTGCCTAAGGCAGCCGCCTGTGCTATGCATTATTTGTATGTGTATGTGCTTGTGGGTGTTTGCTTAAAATGGTGGGTTATGTTTTCCTTTGGGTTAACCCCAACTGCGAGCGCCGCAAATGTCAACAAGGGTCCAGTTCATAATGGTGACCGCTGGCTCCGCTGGTTCGTCCTCGGGTTCGCGCTGTGGCTGGGGCTCTGACTGTGGTCCTGGGCCGGGATCGGTTGGGGCTGACGCAGCTGCGCCTGCTGCTTGGGGCGTTGCTGCCATGGCTGCTGTGATTGACAAGGCCTGCGCTTCGCCTACATCCACATCGACATCCACATCCATTTGGATGATGCAGTGCGTGGCCGCTGGCAAGCCACACTCACCGGCTGCATACATTAACTATGCTGTCACGTAATATTCGCGCTGACGTTTCTGGCATTTCTCTCGTGCAATGTAGCACAATGCAATCGTTATAAGGAGCGCGATAGTCACGCCCATGCCAATACTGACCCACATAATTTCCTCGTTAATGCCCACATACGAACGCCCTGAGGCCGGACGAGAGCGTGAGTGAAACAGAGAGAGAGAGTCATATATTATTGTATACGCATATATGCAGTCATATATTAACCCAATTAAATTAAAATTTAAGAACCCTGTAGCCATCCAGCAATGTTGGCTACAAATTAATTAAAATGAATGTTATTCGATTACGTACGCAATCGATGCGCATTTTAATTGAATAACCAGCTGAAGGACTGCAGAATGCATGTACAATTTTAATGTTTTAAAAAATAATTACGGATGGATACAAACCATTGTAATAGTGATTTGAGTAGCCGGCTTTACCGGCCACCCGACCAGCTGGCATATTGTGTACTTTTTAGTGCGTCTTCTTGTTGCCAAAAACTTGTATAGAATTGTAATAAATCAAGAGCGAATGCAGCTCGTTTTGTCTTTTGCTTCTTGGCAGCTGTGCCAAGCAAAGTTTTGCTGTCTTCCGCCTCGCTGGACGCTTCTTTAATCACAATTTATGTCCAGCTGCATTGCGGCCTTGGCTTAATTTTGCATTGTTTCTTCTGCCAAAAGCCAACTGATTGCGACACTGTTTTCGACTGTAGGAAGAAGAAATAAGAGAAAGTTGTATATTGAAATTAAAGCAAGCAAGGAAATTCAATTCAGCTTAAGGCCGTAGCTGCTTTACTTTTCATTTAGTTGAACGCAAATTGTAGTTGCCTTCAGCACTTTTAAATAAAGACAAATACAAATAAATTTAATTAATTTAAATTATATTTACGTTGCGTAATTCAATTCAAATTCGAATTTGAATTCGAATTAAGTAAGCGCGCAGAGCTTGCACTGTTTTTAACCACTGCGCGTTAACCAACACTGATCGAACAGCTGTTCGGTTATGTGTCACCAAAATTTGAGCAAGTTTTCGCCGCATCGCTGTGTTTTATTTTTGTCACTGCCGCCGTCTGTTGGATTAGCTTCTCGTGCATATGGACGAGCAGAAGGTAATGGAGCAAAACATGGAGAACTTGGCCATCGCCATGCCGGTGTCTCCATCGCCGCGCCAACCGAGCCTGGAAGAGGAAGCAGAAGTCGGCAAAGATGCGGCATCTGACCAACAGCTGAGTGAATTTACCGCCACAAACAGTTGCACCTGTGGCTGCCGTAAGTTCATATACCCCGTTTTTCAATTTGCCCAATAAGTCGAAGCTACGTCCTTCCGAACATACAACTAATGGCAATCTCTGCCGATGATAGAGCCGTGCAGCTCTTGAGCTACCGCTCGCTTCCAGGCGATGTTGTGAGCGATACCCAACAGTCTTGGATCTGTGATTGGGCATCTTTTGGGCAATGTGTCTGCAGTCGTGTCCCGGCTTTTAAGCGAGACATGACGACAGCGGCAGCTTGTCCAGTGCTTGACTTAGGCCAAGTAGGCTGTTAAAATCATGATATTGGTGCCCCACGTTCCCAAAAGGAATGCTATGTTTAAGCTCTGTATGAACACAAGCTTTGCTTATATCCTTGTCGTGGATATTATAAACTTAACGTCAAAAAGCTTTGCATAAGTTTGTCGTTCTATTGAGGCAAAGATCGGTCGAAAATTAAGTTTTTTTTATGAAGAACTATTTTTCAAGATATGTTGACCAAACTAAGCAATTACGAGCTACATTATGCTGCTTAAATATCACCGAGAGCCTCGTCATATCGAATTGCTATATCATTGAAAGAATCGGTCCGAAAATGTATTTTTTTAGAAAAACCTTTATGTTTAAGCAAATATCTTGAACAAACTTGGTATTCAAGTGCTTCACTTTTCCACTAACATATGACCAAAATCCTAAAAACTTTGAGCCGTCATATAATGTGGCTCGTATTGGAAAAATCTGTCGGAAATAAAGGTTTTACTCAGCGTGCTGTGTTTTCTGGTCTCACACTCGCGCACTGCCATTCGCGGAAATTCATATCTGTCGCTGTTTTAGTCATAGCTGTACACAATTGATTGTATATTGCTGATAAAAAATATTTATTTTTGTCACGTTTGCTCCCAACCGCAAAATCTGTATCGCTTACAGTTTTAAAGCCACTTCATATATATGTAGATTCTCCCTTCCAGTTTGTTTCCGCCTTTGTTTACTTAGCATTAGCAATGTTCTCCTGTTTTATATACAGAAGGGTGCTGCAGTCAAAAGTGCCCGACCAGAGGATACTCTGTTCCTAGCTCCCAGCGGACGCAATATCAATTCAAGCTTCTTTTTATGGAATAAGCCTCTTCCTAATACCAGGCTAGCCTCTAGAACTTATAATTTTCAAAGATGTGACCTAGGACTACCTGACAAATAACCAAAATCATATACTTCACAAAATGTGCTTTTACCCTGAAACATATTCTGGGCTCTTGGAGGTAAGCCTGGTTTATGTCCAGATATAGGAGGAAACTTCTTCAGTAAGAATAGTGCCTTCAGGGAACTCCAGCAACTTTTGTGCCCTAAGGGAGCTCCAGGCACAATAGACCGATTTGGCATCCATCAGTAGGTCTCTAGCTCCAGATCTACATTTTCGCAGTAATGAACGACGTTACGTTTCATGATTCACACAGCTATGATATATCCATAGGTAATTGCACAAAACCAAACCACTTTTTGTTCGTTTTTTTGAACAGTTTTATAAACCCGTGTGTGCCGCCCCAAACTCTCATTAGTATTCCCGATGTGCCACTGTAAAATCCATATCCTTGCCGCAGTGATAGATTTAAGTTCCGCTCAAACGCCTCGTTGCCTTCCGTAAGCGCACAAATTGCACAAAACGTCAGCCCAATTGCGACTGCCACCACCCACCTATAACCCTGCCAATCCCCACCCCCTCAAACGGCCGCCCATTGAAGCTCCGAATGCGAAAAACTTTTGCCACAACAGGAAGCGGCAGGACATTACTGGTGATGCTCCTGCTGTTGCAGTTTCTGCTGTTGCGCTGCCCATTAGCAACTGCAATGGAAATGCTCGGGTTTTTCGTGATGGTCGCGGGGGTGGTGGAAGGGAAGGGAAGGGGATTGGAATCTGTACGCTGACCGCATGAATTATTCACATAATCCAAATAGAAATTTTCGTGTGTGCGCCCGTAGAAATCGAGGTTGGATAAATGATAAAACGATATCGTTTTGTCTGCTTTCCTCCACAGCAGTTGTAAGGGCTTTAGATTATTTTTACTGCGCATTAAAGTGGATTCAGTCCAGGGACAAGATCTAAATTCAAATACTTAAAGCCCAGATAATATGATTTAAGTTATAGCACATGCATGAATTAATTCTTTTAGATTATTTATTATTGAAAAATGATTTAAGAGCACAAATCTCGCTTGGAATGTAGATTCATATTTGAGGCTGAGCTTGTGAGCTATTATTATTATGAAAAATGTTATTTTTATATGTGAGATGTGATCAATTATATAAGACAAGCGGGTATACTCTGGCCTTGCCCGCGGTACGTATAAAATAAATATTTGAGGGTACCATTTTTACATGAATTTCGACCAAAAATAATGTTGCCAGATTTAGATGCCAAATCGATTAAGAGTCCAAGCCAATGTCAATACTCGTAAAAATTGGTTGACTTTTGGCCCAGTTATGGAGGTGGGAACTTTTGACCCATGTCTATATACGAATCCTAGGGGTAAGATTTTGACATGAATTTAAACTCAAAAATATGTAGTCAGATTTAAATGCCATATTATTTAAGAGAGAAAACCACAACAAAATGTCAATACTCGTAAAAATTGGTTGACTTTTGGCCGAGTTATGGAGGTGGGAACTTTTGACCGATGTCTATATACGAATCCTAGGTTTGAGATTTTGACACGAATTTCGATATTTACTTGAAGCTCAGCATTAAGCAACCTCACGTAAGTTTTCATTTTCTTCGAGAGTTTAGTTTATATATTAGTTATAAACACATATATTAGTCCTTCACATTTTGCACATTTGCGGGTTACGAAAAATATTTTGTTGTGCATCTAAAGCTCGTAAGAACAATTATAAAGAATCAAAAATATCGCACCTTGGATAAACAGTTAAAATATACTCATCGGAAATCGCACATTTCCCGATAAATCTGCACCTGATAAAAAAATAAATATAAATAATTATACCCTAACGAAACGAGCTTAAACTTTTTTTTGGAAAAATATTGTTTAATTCAGTCTCTATTAGTCAGCTAAACCAGTTGAAGGTTCGCTTCATGTACATGCGGGAAAAAGTAGGATAAAATGCACATGGGGGCGTGTATTGACATTGGGCGGAATAATCGCGCATGGTCGACTTCAAAGTTCTCATCTAATGCGGATGCCGCGCAGTTTTCCAAGTCCGATAAAAAAAAAAACCCGTGTAGGGCGGCCTCGCAACCGACTCTGATAAATGCAAGCCAGCCAGTCGCCGCTGGAGTCATTTCGCAACAGGCAACAGCTGCATGAACAGCATCCGCTGCTGCTGCCCACATGCGACCCGAACTAACAGCCGCAATTGCAGCTCAGCTGGAGGCAGAGCCAATTCTGGACAATGTGCAGTTGCTCGGATTTCTGGTGCGCAGTCGTGACATTGACTGGAAGAGCTATGTCCAACCCTTGGATACCGAAGTGCGCGGCGATGCGGTCTACTTGGAGAGGCAATCCGATTTTCTGAGCAACCATCGACGTACGCTGAATAACAACAGTCGACGCGAGCTGCTTGTCTGCCACGACATGATGGGCAACTATTTGAACGATCGGTGAGTGAGTTTTATTGGACATATGCTAATCGCATATCATTAATCCCAATCTCTCACAGGCACTACCACAGCTCGGAGAAGTACGATGACTATCGATTCATGCACTGGTCGGCTGTGGATTATTTTTGTTACTTCAGCCACAAATATGTGACAATTCCGCCCAGCGGCTGGCTAAATGCCGCCCATCGACATGGCGTGCCCGTGCTGGGCACCTACATAGCCGAGGGCCACTCGGGCAAACAGCTACTGCACGAAATCCTCGACAGCGCGGAGAGCGTGCAACGTACTGTGGCAGCCATGACACGGCTCTGCCTGCACTTTGGCTTCGAGGGCTGGCTGGTGAATGTGGAGTGTCCGGTGCGTGCCGAGGCCATGCCCAATCTCTAGTGAGTAACGTTTTCCGATTGTGCAGTTTCCATTACTCAACCAGGGCTCATTCGCAACAGCCTCTTTGTGGAGGAGCTGCGTCAGGCGACCGAGCGGCAGGTGCCGCATGGACGCGTTATTTGGTACGATAGCGTCATCGACAATGGCGAACTGTCCTGGCAGAACGAGCTGAATGAGCGTAATGTGCAATTCTTTCGCGCCAGTCATGGCACTCTGATCAACTACATCTGGGACGATCGCAGTCTGGACACGAGCGAGGCATCCATACAGCGTGAGAAGGCAGCACCGCATCGTTTGTTTCTGGGACTCGATGTGTTTGGGCGCGGCCAATTGGGACGCTTTCAGAGCGCTCATACTCTGGCTAGGATTGCGGCACGCGGCTTCTCGGCGGGCATTTTTGCGCCAGCCTGGTGCTTCGAGACGCTGCAGCAATATGGCTACAATATACGCAACAACAGCGGCGATGAGTCTGTGAATGCCGCCTTTCTGGCCAGAAACGAGCGCTGGTGGTCCCGCCTTTGGCCTTCCCTGGGCACGCATCCATACCGTTCGCTGCCCTTCTACTCAAACTTCTGTGTGGGATCGGGCCGCACCAGTTTCGAGTGCGGCGTACGCCAGCTGGCGGCACGTCCCTTTTTTAATCTGGCGCGACAGGCTCTGCAGCCGTCGGTGCCGTTGGGCGACAATGCCGAACACAGCTTTGACACCGCCTACACTGGGGGCTGTGCCCTGCGTATTATTAATTATGAACGTGCCTTTCGGTTGTTCCTCACCGAATTCGAGCTACCATTGGGCGTACTGCTCTTGGGCTATGCCTACAAAGTCACCACGGAAGACGAGAAGCACGCGTTGGATGTGGTGCTAAGATTTTGTCCACCCCGGCAACCCATGAAGGATGTTTATGTCTTTTGTGGCACCTATCGCGAGAATATTCTAACGCAAGGTGTATGCTACGTATCGCCACTGGCCGGAACACTGGCGCCCAGCCTGGTGCACGACCAGCTGCCGCAGGAGCACGGTGCCCTGGGCGAGAACTGGCGTGTGCGATATTATCTTGTCAAATTCGATGGACCCGTGCAGCTGCAGGACATAGGGCTGATGGGCAGACGCCCGCAACTGTCCACAGCGAATGCTTACTTGGGTGCCATCTATGTGCAGAGCCTGCAGCTGGAGGATTATGAGGCAGCACAAGCAACGCACAAAGCCGACATTTCGGTAAATCATGGACAGCTCTGGCGTGATCACGATTTAATGGAAAAGGCCTCGGCAGCTTAAAAATTAAATGCATTTTGGACAGAAAGTAATCGCGTTCTTTTTTTTTTTTGCATTGTCTCCATTCCTTTCTCTTTTTTACGGAGGGTATTTGCATTTTGTCACGAAGTGTGTATATTCTTGGTGAGCATCAGCAGCTGAATGGCTAAAGTCATGTCCGTCTGACAGTTTCTATATCTAACTTGATAAGGCCGGGTTTGTCATTCCCCATATTCCATCGGTTTACTATATTATTTAGACCCCACAGGAAACACTTATTTACTTTTAAAGCTGATATATGCTTTTTAAGCTCAATTCTTGCCAGATTATAGGGCTTCAATCTCATTCAACATTGGCATATTTTTATATGGCAATGCTCCATCAATCAGGGCTGCAAGATCATTAAACATGATCTGTGTCTCGCTGGATGGTTCGAACCTGCTTTTTGCCTCTGGCTCCACTCGTGATTTTAATTGAAAGCTCGGCTTGTCACATTTATCATTTCCCGTTCTAAAATATTTCATTTTTATGCACCATGCATTGCCATAAGTCTGCAAGGGTATTTAAAGTTCACTCTTCCTTTTTTTTTGCGCCGTTCAATTTGCCTTTGGGCTACTCGTCATTATTCATCATCAGCTGCTGACCTTCGCACAGCGCTGCAATTTTCGTAGCCTTTTGAATCTCTGGTTACGCACATGTCTGCTGCAGCCGCCCACTGGTGGCGCCCTGCTTGCCACAAGGGTCAGTTCGTTCCAATGCCCAAATGTCAGTCCGTCCACTTGACCATCAGTCAACATCACATGCAGAGCTCTTCGAGGGGCTAGGGGGCGTGGCAAGTGCATATGTACTCTACGGTTGTTTTTGTTCTTTGGGGGCAGGCGGCGTTGACTTTGTTTGCCAAAGGCGTCTCTTAAAAAAGTGCCACAAAAACGTGCTCCAACCCGAAAAACGGTGCTCCCCAAAACCTTAGGCAAGGCACTAATGGGATATATATATATATATGTATGCCACATATCTATATGAACGTGTGTGGATACAGATTCAGTAATGTGCTGACCTCTGTACGGCTGCAACTGTTTGCCGAATGCATCTCTCTGTGGCCCAGGTGCTGCGAAAACTGTAATTTTCCGCCGTTGTCGCCCGAGCAGCTCATATACATACCTATCAAGGCGTGCGTGGGCGTTTGTGTATTCTGCATAAATTCGGTATTTGGTATTCTGAATGCGGTAGTATGGCATTTTGATTAAATTTCCATATATACACGTCTCTGTGTGCGAATTTCGTCTTCTGGTTTTTTTCTGTTTTGTTTTTACTCCCTGGGCCAGCACAATTGGCATCTCCGCCTGGAACTGACAAACAGCTCGTGCTCAGCTTGCCGCAGTTGTCATATGTTCAACATTTTATGACAGTATCTGCAGCCACTTCTGTGCCCTCTTTTGACACACACAGACATTTAAGCAACGTCTCTCAAGTGTTTAAATGCCCTTACACATATTATTATTGTTACACGCTAAACCCATAGCAGATGGTTCAAAATGGTCGTAACAGGCTGAAGATAGCTCTTTCGAGACCATAAAGTACATACATATATATTCCCGATCTGTAAGTCAAGCTGAGTTGATTTAGCCATGTCCGCCTGTCCGATCTGAGAGACTATAGAAGCTATGAGATCAATTTTTCTTTCGAATCATCGATAACTTGGCCCGCTTCCATGAATCGATAACCTTTTCTTAATTTAGCTAGGTACAACAATTTTGTATGTAGGCTCTCATTAACACTCTATTGACAAAAAATCGATTTTGTTTCTTAGTTTGATCGCTTACGATCTCAGAAATAACATATAAAAGCATACGTGATTCATGAAAGGATGTATTTTAAAATATTTTAAAAAATTTTCAAAAAAAAAATCCCTAAAATGTTCGTTTTTAAAAAAAAAAACATAAAAGCTTACGTGATTCCTTAAACAATGTAATTTTAAAGATATGTCCGACGACAAACGCTGCTGCGTCGCTCGTTTTAATTGATTCTTATAAAAAAAGTTTGTTTTAGACGTTAAAAGGTGTAAATAAGCTGCAATTATAAATTTGTACTAGCTAAATATATTATTAAAAAAAATCACATAAAAACAGCTTTCGTCCAGCCTTTAGAGCGTCATAACCCCTTAAGTAGACACAGGTCCAGAATATTTCACTTTTTGGTTACCTTAGCCCATACCTTCCCATAATAGTAAACAAATAAACCTCTTAATAGCTATTGCCTTGGGATTAGGTATTTACACACATTCGAATACCATATTTACGCCTTGAAAATGTCATTAGGATCGGACTTTAAACACCGAAGATATTCAAGAAACATTTATCGCTGAGGAATAATTGGATAATAAGCTTAGGCGCAGACTGAAGCTGGCATAAGAACGCGCTCTATAACCCTTTTTTAAATTTACCAAAAAACTTCCCAAACATATATAAAGAGCGGGGTTTTAATGGCGACTAAGTTAAGAGATTAACTTTTAAGTGGATTTGGCTGATAAAGCCGAATTTTGAGAAAATCATATGAAATTTGTCTAAAAATCCGCTTAATAAAGAAAAACTTATTTAATTAAAAACAAGTAAGAGTGCTCTAGCTGGGTATGCCCGACCAGAAGATGCCATGCGACCTGCCGCGAGCTACCCTGACAAACATTTTAACTGCGTTTCAAACCAACATCCACAAGACTCTCACCCACACACACACACAGCCAGGCACACACAGACAGACAAACACCCACCAACACACACACCCACCCACCTACAGACGCACACACACGCCTACCTGTGCTTAAGAACTATAATGCATGGAATGTGAACGTTTTTATATATATTTTTCTTATTTTTCTTCTATTTTATTTTGTTTTACTTCATTTCCTTTTTTGGGTTTTTTTGGCTTTGACTTTTAGTGCAGCGTTTTGTGTTTCTGTCTCCGTTGACATCATTTTTGCATGCATGACAGCATCTGAGGCCAAAACGGCTGCCCCACCCATGCAGCAGTCCCATCCGAGCGTGCTTGCTTTTTGCCCAGACTCAAAGTTTTTATGCTCGTTTACAAAGTGAATAAAAAATTGTGTGCAATGTTCGCCTTGCTTTTCCGCCCGTCTCCTCGTACGAGGCCATTTTTTTTTTAGGCGCTATGGAAGTCAACTATTTAAGACTTGAAAAACTTACACATTATCTATATATTTAGATTATATGGATATGGCCACTAGGGGCGTGGCAAATGGTGCTCAAATACGGAATGAAGACAATTAATTAAATGCTTTAAAGATAGACACACATACAAGTTCGCACACACATATTGAGGGCAGCTGTGCTTCTTCTTCCTCGCCACTATGGGAAATGCTTTCGTGATTAACTTCGGTGCTTATTGTCCGATCTTTATGAAATTTTCGGTGCATAAATAAAGCACTCTTGTGTGTGCGTAAGAAAGCTCAAGACTATGCCTCGAGACATGCATTTTATTTTCAATTTTGGGGAGAATGCATTCAAAAAGTAAAATATTCTGGATCTACGTATACTCTAACTATTTGTGCTCAGAAAACATTAAGTCGATACCGATCTTTATCGATTTCGTAGTAACGAGGTGTGTTATTGATGATTTGAAATAAACACGGGCACTTAGTCTATTTAAAGAAGCTAGGTTCAAAGTTTCAAGTCCATAGCTCTTAAAGTTTCAAAGGTCGATACATTCATACAAAGGAACGGACGAACAAGTAGAAAGTCAAAATACACTCGGCTTTTGATGATGATTACGAATATATGTATATTTTTAGGTACGGATAAGTTTTCTTCTGTCGGTTACATACATATGGCTTTTCATTTTTTATTTTGGCTTTTCATATATATTTACATACATATGCCCAAAACCAATACACCCTTCTTTACGATTTTCAATCGATTCTGGGTATTTAGAAATATATTTATACTATCAATATATCTTCACTTAGAATTAGCGTGTAGCCCACTAGAAGCTGTTATTGGGCCTTTAACGAGTATTAACCAGTCGGTTGCATCCGACTGCAACATTCGCGCTCGCATTGTGCCCTTTTATTTGTTTAGTTCGTTTATTTTCCTTTTTTTTCCCCCTTGTCGCCCAACTTTTGTAGTGCTTTGGCTTTGCTCAACTCGGGCAAAAGTCAGCCACGCAGCGCGCTGGTGCGGAAGCGTAAACACAGCATTGCTGTTGGCGTGGGCTATGATAGGGTGCTTTGGTGCTTTGGCGGGGTGTTGCAATGAAAAGAGCGTTAAGAGCATGGCAGCCGTAGTCCCGCTTAGGGCTATCATCATCATTAGCATTATGGGCTTACTTGCCCGCCGGAACTTAGTATGTTGGTGTGATTTGTGCCAAACGCCCTCACGCTGTCAACTTCTAGATTGTTAGGGTTATATGTTAAGTCTTCTCATAAAAATACGATGCATAGTTCATAAAACTGAGCAGCGCTCCAAACCCAAAGAAACAGCTGCCTGCTTTTACGTTCGGTTTGTGAACTTGTATGGAAATTTGTTGTCTACTACCCAAAAAGGAGATCCACAAAATATGATTAGATAAATTTAATGGTTATTTATGCCTTGGAGCTGAGTAGGCCTCACAGGATTATAATTTATAAAAAATATATATTTTTAGAGTATAAAATAAAGTGGATTTCCGAATTCGAATTCGTTCGTTTCAAAAGTGGCTTGCAGCCTTGGTATTTCCACATTGCCTCCACGCCGGTACTATTCCAAATACTGCCAAAAAGAGTGAATATCCCAGCGGCGCAAGTAAATTGACCATTGGGAGCATTCAGCAAAAATGCCCGTTCCCAGCTATTCTGTCCCTGTCCGTGTCCCCTTTGCCTATCTGGTTTTTGGAAATTTTGTTGCGGACCTAAATCAGCTAAAAGCAACAATTGCAACAGCTACAACAAAAACTGCACAGACTTTCGCACTGGATGGAATTTAAGTTGACCCAGTTTTTGGCTCGGTCAACGTGGCAAACCTCTGGCTGGGATTTGATTTTGCCATTTATGTGCATGTT